TTCAGATTCTGAATTGAAAATTTGTTGTCTTTTGAGTTTGCCTTAAGATTTAAATTGACATTTCAGAAAATATGTGCTCTGAATATTGGATGGTCTTGCATTGATGAAACTGTGTTTCTATGTGCAGCCAGTCATCTACAAGTCTTGGTAGAATGGAAGTGTAGTGTCGCCATGTCTCACTGGACAGTTGAAGCTTTGTTGGATGAGATCTCTCACCTCATCACCTTGTATGAGGTGAGGAAGGATGCTGATGCGGTTCTCAAGATGGCAACTTGCATTGCCTCTAAGATCACAAGTGCTAGTGAGATCACTCCCTCAATGGGGTTAAGCTTTGCCAAGCAGTGGATAATGCACCACTCAATGATGCTGTCAAGGCTACTTTGCACAAAGCCTTGGATGAAAAAGTCATGCATGGTCTATTGTCAAAGGGAGTGTTATCCAAAGGCACTTTCAATTTACTCCAAGCCCTTGACATGTGGGAAGTGTTACAAGGCTATGTGGAGCAGTGGCACTTGCCTCATGCTGTCAGCAACCTCAAGCTCAGTGCTCTCTTTGAAGCAAAGCGAATTAGCAAACACAAAAAGAGCCAGAAGCTCAACAGCACTGCCAGTGAGCTTTTGTGTGTACTACCTATCCTTGCACACTTTGCAAGGGTTGCTTGTCTTCCCACTGGCACACACACCCAGGAAATTGAGGCATTCTTGTCTTTGGTGCTGGTAGTGGAAATGCTGCAAGCCTGTTCTTACATCAGTGTGCAGCCTGCTGCCCTTTTAGTAGCTATTGAGAGATCTTTGAAGCTTTGGGTGGACCTTGGGTGGCATATGCTGAAAAAGCACCACTGGCTTCTTCACCTACCTACATTCCTGTCCAAACACCACTGGCTTCCAAATTGTTTTTGCATGGAGAGAAAGAATAAGATGATCAGTCGCCATGCAAACATCATACAAAACACCAGAAGTTTTGAGAGGAGCCTTTATGAGGAAGTTACAACTTTTGAGCTGGAGAAGCTTTCTGCAGTTGATTGTTTTGCTACAGGTGTGTATTTGATTGATCCCAAGCCATTGACCAAAAAGCTCAAAGCTTTGGCATCTGCAATGTGGGATGATTGCCAAGACACTTTGCAGACCTTCAAGGCCACCAAAGGTGACGTTGTGCTTCTACAAAGTGCAGCCTCCAAGTTTGATGCTGGTGAAGTGCTTGTGTTTCTTTCTCACTTGGGAGAAAGCCTCTGTGTGGTCAAGGCCTTGCAGCTTCAACAGCTGCATCCATGTCATGCCTTGTGGCAAGAAGTTGACACTTTGGTAGCAGTGCCTTTGCACACTGTGTTGTTGGCAGCGCCCTTTGCAAAAGACCACAGAGGCATCACCACTCTGACTCCTTGGCACCTACGATGAATGCCTGTGGTGTCAAAACATTGCTTTTTTGCATCAGACAGCTTGCTGCCTTTTGTCAGTCAAGGCTTGTGTCATTTTTCACTCATTAGCCATGTGGCTTCATGAACTTTGTGTGCATGTCATTAGTCAAGTGGTGCATGTCATTAGCCAAGTGGCTCAGTAACCGAAAAACCACCATTTTTTCTAGCAAAACTAACTTTCCTAACTAGTTATAACTTTTTCATAATTTTAACATAATTTACTTAATTATGTTAACTAGTTATAAAACCACAGCCCATCTAAGACCTCAACGCCCCTGGCCGGCTGTCGGGCGTAAGCCCTTAAATAAATATATATATATATATATTTATTTTATATATGTATATAGGACATTTATGCTTGAAAGCGGTGTTTCCTTCAACCCACCTTTCTGAAGCTGGCTTCAAGAAGACTGCCGGTCGAAGTGGGTAGTCGTCATGCCTAAACAAACACTCTTAAGACTTCTGATGCGTTGAGGTGAGGGGAAACATATCGCTGTGTTGTTGAACTAGAGTCCAAGGTTGCGCATCAAGGATTTATATATCGGAGGCGATTAGTTTGTTCCAATGCTTTGGATGTGCGTGAGGTATGACTTGCAGGAAAAACCATTCTCCCACACTGGCTGTTTTCCAACCCCAGCGTATCCCAGCTACTTGCCAGAGAGAGAGAGAGAGCTCACCTCATTGCCAGGTCATGAGCCACCAAGACGCGACGCGCCAGCGCAAAAAAAGACTGTGTGGTAGATACTACAGAGAGTTGTTGAGGCCAACCCCGTGGTATAGGTGGTGGTGGTATGGGTGGTGGTGGTATAGGTGGTGGTGGTATAGGTGGTGGTGGTATAGGTGGTGGTGGTATTGGTGGTGGTGGTGGCGGTGGTGGTGGTGGTGGTGGGAATCGGTCGTCGAGTTCGGGTCTTTGGTGGTGGGAAGGCCACAGATCAAATTGATGGAGGCAGGTGGTTGATATGGAACCACAGCCTGGAGGCAGGTGGTTGAGATGGTTCCATTCGGTGGTTGATATGGGGATGGGTCAAAAACGGTCAAACAAATGGACCCCCACAGCCTGGTAGGTTGACCTATACCTGGTAGGTTGACCTGGTAGGTCTCCTGCTTTTGACCCACAGCGGTGGCAGCAACCAAGTGCTTAACCCGGGTCCCGGCTTTCTGTTGGTTCAAAAGCAAAAACCGTTTCACGAGATGCCCTATCAAGCGGGTTCGCGGGTTCGCGGAACATTCTGTTTGGATCCGTGGCATTTGTTCTGCTTAAATCTGCAGCAAGACGAGAGTGGACCAATGGGGAAAAAGAGTTGGAGATTGTTGGAGCATTGAAGCTCCGGAATCTTAGGCAATTTGGTCCGTAAGATTTCAGAACCTGTTCATTTGCCTAATTGCAGATATCTATATACTCAAATGACGTACTGTATATTTCTGCATCTACCTTCGTCATGTTTCATCAACACGCAAAACCATTTGCTGCAGGCATAGGAGCTTACATCATCTTACTAAGTAATTAGATGCAATTAGTATTACTAGCTACATTGGGCAGTACATTTTTTTCCCAGTCCTTTGGCGTCCGTGAACGGCCCACTCAACCCGCGGCCCAGCACGGCGCACTGAGGCATCAGTGATCGTGGATGTGGCGCGGAACGCCACGGTGTGGTGTTCCATCTTGGGCATCCTGGGGAACAAGTGGTGCGCTGGCTGAAGACGGCCGGACCGGACCGGAGGGTTCTGGATGGTTCTGGGCAGAATGGTCTGGGGTGAGGCGTTTTGTGTTGGTGAAGGTGGAAGAAAGAGTGACTGGAATTTAGAGACTGATTTTTAGGTCCTTCTTGGCTGGTTTAACTGGTTTGTGCGTCCTTGGATTCGACCCTGAATCAGACTTGTCACAAGAACGGTCACCAGCTAAGAAGTTTGGCCTCCTAGAAAGGCAGATCTGTTGTTGCCTCATACTTGGACTGAAAGTCATGCGTATTTGTTCACTGCGTCATTCACTCACATGTTTCAAGAAATGAATCGCACCGTGTAGGGTGCAGTACCATATGCTTTCCTATTGAATTATGCACCAAGAGATTTGGCCGCTTGCTCATGATTTCTTGGTCAGACGGCTTCTCTTCACCGGCAATCAATCCCAAGGTATGCACTCAAGGGTGGCTATTTGTGCATGATGGCCCTGAGCTTAGAAGTGTCGCTCATGGCAGCTATGATTTGCCAATGGCGAAGTTCAGCTTTTAATCATGCAGGAATGGAAGGCAAAGAAATAAGCGGCTACACTTGATTAATGTATTTGAATATATATTTAAAGGGTCATATTTCAACAATTGCTTAATTAAACTATATATCCAATTAATATATATATATATATTAATGTATTAATTAATGTAGTGAAATAGTAGTCCTTTTCTCTTCACTATTCAAAAACATTTCAATCATTGCTGCACCGAACGTAGCGAACATAGCGTCAGATCCCGTGACCATACGTGTCGCTTTCCGGAAAGCTGGCAGATCAGACAGAGAAATCTCTCCCACACCTTCCATCTCATCATTAGATTCTAGAGATGTCTCACATTCCCCTTCCCATCCACTCCTCATCTCCTCATCTCCTCATCTCCTCATCCCATCCTCCTTTCATCCTCCCAACAAAGATTCTCGACTTCTCCATTTTCCCTCCGTCACCCCATGTCACCCCATGTCATGGATGGAAAGCACCGACCCGTTGGACCGGACCCGACTCGGAGGTGGTCACCATGAGCTCGGCGCTGTCGCCCTACGTCACCGATCGCCTCTCCGAGCTCTTCACCGGCGTGTCCGGAGCTCCACCCGCGGACCCTTCCCGCGAGGGGCGGAAGGCGGCGGAAGGTGGGGAGGATTGAGAGATGCGGGTTGACATGGATTGACATATTGCCGGGGGGATTGAGGAATTACAATAAGTGAGAGATATGTTGGACGTGTTCATTTGGTTGGGAGAACATGTACTTGTCTCTTTTTGCGATGTGGTCGTGGTCTTGGTGAGGAGATATCCAGGCCATTCTGTTTACAGGCTGGTCATCCTCCATCAATCAAGGCACGTTTGCCAGGATTGGACGAGTGAATAATCAGATTCGTGTGAGAGAGAGAGAGAGAGTGTGGGTGCAGATGTCAGCACACTTTTTGCTCAGACACAACCCAGAAAACAGGCATCACAGTTGCATTACAGTGGTTTCAGAGTAGATGGCACTGGCACCCAAAGATGTCCTTCAGATAGGGGTCCATATAGACCACCTTTTGGGGATTGTGCCATCTACTCTGAACCCAAGAAGGCAACGTCCAGTCCATGTCCCTAAAATGTTCCCGTTGTGGTGACGCCTCCAATTAAAAACATCACCTCGTGTTGGATAAGTGTTGGAACATCACCTACACTGCACTTGTCACAGCTCGGTGCTATGAGTGGTGCTATGAAGAATATATTGAATAAACAAAACAGGACATGCATTCCATTCCAATATGAGGAATCCTTTGGATTCAGCTCACTTCACATGAAACGGGCGTGACCGGTGTTCGCTCAAACCTCGGTGTTCGCGACCGACGGACGGAGCTTGGACATTGCGGGTTTTTGTTTGAGCTGGGACGACATGTGAGCCAAGTCCCACTTTTTGGGATCACGGGAATTTTAGAATTGGTTTCATGGAACATCTACAGGAAAGAGATGGTTTCGGGGGTGAAAGCAAGGGTTTCCTGGAGATCTTCACTTAAACCAATTCATTGACTTGATGCTTTAGGACGAAGATGCAGGAAACTCCTTCGTCTTGGATCATGGGAGATCGAAGAATGATGGCCCTGTAAAACTGTTTTTCCTCTCGGATCGTGGATCTGGTTACCCCAACGTTTGGTGGTGCAATCATGGACCCCCATTTGTTCGAGACATCTTGGGGTGCCAGTGCCATTTGAATTGAAACCACTATACAAAAATATACAACATACAATTATATGTGTATATATATGGCAAACTGAGTGGCAAACTGAAATTTTACGACATCTAAAGGCAGTGATAGAACCCCATGCCATGTAGGACCCTCCTCCAGTCCTTTCCAGTCCTTCATTCGGGACCATGAAAATCCCCTCCGTTTTCGCCATGTTCGAAGCCGTGGACCCTCAAGGTCCTTGCTCAAGTCCTTCGACACCTTGCAGATCTCCGGGTCTTCCGGAAGATCCATGGGACAGGCGTCCAAGCGTCGCTGACGATGTCCCGAGTCCGTGCTGACGAAGATGCGAAGGGCGACGGTCACGATGTCCGGATGAAGAAGAACGATGCGACCCTGCAAAACGGTGATGGTTCCATCCATGTGAGGGCCCCTCTTGAGCTGAATGCTTCGGGTCACAACTGTTGTGCTTGGCAAGTAGTTTCACAGTTTCATTGGTGTGTTCATTGGTTTTGTTCATTGTCCAATGTTTTTCCATGTGGAAAGGAGCACATACCATGATGAGTGACTTCCATAGGTCGCTATCCAGTTCATCGCATGACGTCAGGCCATCGCATGGTCAGTGATGCCACTCTCTGCTGGTGCCTACTTCTTCCAGCTCTTGGCGATGCCTGGTTTCCCATTGACGGGACCGAGAGTGGGGCGGGTGGTGGAGGATATCCACGCGCCACAGTGATGGGACGGTTAGTAACCTATACTCCCCAAGAATCTTCCCACACATATTTTGTAAGAGCATGTAAGAATCATCATGTGCTTTTCCCCAGCAACAGTCAATTTGTTCTTTACGGGTTCAACATGTTGTCAAGAGTATTTTTTTTTGTGGTGTGATGTGGTGTGCTTCTTTTGCTCAGAATGCAAGGCATGTGTTTGGAGTTTGGATTAATAGATCAATTCTGGGACATGCAGTGCCATCATTATTGAAAATATATTAACACCCTTCAGGATACACAAGATCAATCATATTCTCAAGGGGTGCCCTAGCGGGCCCCCAAACCTGCTGAGGTACGCCTCCAGGAGTACCAATTTTTCACAGAAAGAAGTGGGTGTTACCCTTCTTTCGCCTCAGAGTTGAACATTTTCCTCCTGAGGCGATACTTCAACTCTGACACTCTCAGCTACAAGGGGTCCGGCGCCCATGGAGCGTTTCTGGCGAGCGAAACACATGTGCCGACGTGATGTGCTGGACATGGTGTGGTCAGGAAACCACCACGGTTCGGGCCTCATCAACTCACACAACGGGCGTTGGTCAAGACGCCACAAAAGCCCTGGGAATGTCGTTTGTGCCGGGCCGTGGTGTAGTAGAGCGTATCCACACTGGCACAGGGCTACAACGGTACCAACACTCATATACTCGTTGATGTATGCGACATTTGGTTTAGGAGACGGTTCTGGAAATCAAGTTCTACTCAATGCTAATACTGACAACCGCTGAACTCAATGGACTCCTGGATATGTGTATCACTTTTTTGGTCTCAATCATGTAAGTTTTGGCTGACGCCGGACTGACGCTGTCATTCCATACCTTTGCAGGAGTTTAGATTTGACGCGGAATTGCATGTTCTTTTGCAACGCATTGTCCTGAGTGCCTACATTCCCCACATGTTGGCTGTAGGCTGTAGAACTGTAGAACACGTATTTCGATGTATTTTGCATTATTAAGCGCAGAGAATGTGCCACAATCCTTGATAAAGAACTTGAACGAACATTTGGTGGTTGAAGGCCGTCACTTGCACACTTGAATCATCAATTCGATTGCTCACGCGCCCCCCCCACATGTGTGTCTGCACTTCCGGAATTCCACACCATCATCGCGTTTGATGAGACAGATATAGAAAGATCTTTTAGAATGAGCCAAAACCATCCCAAATCCATTCCCAAGATCCCTTCCATGGCTCGGGGAGAACGCTTTGCTCCGAGGCACGGCGCCTGGACGGCGGATGGCGTCGCCTTCGGCACGGAGGTGACCGCGGTGCGGATCTCGGTGAAGGACATGAAGAGGCGCCGGACTCGGCGCGGCGGAGCGACGGAGCAAGGAAGGCACCAGCTCTTTTGGTTGGGGTGGTTTTTGGGCTAGGTGGTGAATGTGGTGGGTCGGTGAGTGGTGTTGTTGGTGATGGGGAGATGGAGTCAGACTGGGATTGATGTGGGGTGTTATGGGTTCTTGCATAAAAATATTAATATATATATATAGATAGATAGATAGATAGATTCTAGATCTTTCGTATTCATAGATACTGTAGCCAAGTTTGGAGGGTGAAAAGGTCCTTGAGAATGATGGGTGGGATTCAAAGCAAACGTTTGAAGTGCACACAGACACAGTTTTCTGGGCAAAATCTTGGCTTATTATGGTATCCACGGAGCGCCTTGTTTAGCCAACTTTTAACCCTATGCGTGACTGTGAGGATTCCAAATGTCCTTGTCTTGTTGAGTTCTTTCAGAGCAACATGTTGTCAGTGAAGCTGTTGCCCAGATTTAGCTTGCCAGGAAGCGCAGCAGAGCCAAATTGCTATGGAACAATGATAGCTGCTTAGTTCAAGCAATGGATAGCACATGATAGCACTGGTTCTTTGATGCATCGAGAAGCCAAACCAGAAACCCTCACATCTTGGTCGAGGAGCCTCTATGAATATTTGCTTAATGTATGTTAATGTTCTTACAGCTGGCAAATGTTGGCCAGCGTATGAAGCATCAGGTGTTCTCATTCTTCGCAGAGAGCAGAGCAGGATTGGTGAGAACAGTAAGAACATTACGAGAATCGGCCAGTTTCTTGTTTGGTGCAGGTCATGAATTTGGGGTGTTTGGCGCAACTTAGTGATGTGTGCTCGATTTGAAGTGAGAACACATATATATATATATATTGTGTATATATATATGATAATATGATATTTACTTTGCTACAACAAGTTCTGAGCGAACATGAGCGAACAATCATGCTGCATGCTCCTACTAAACTCTATTGCAGGCATGTTCTGTCGTTCTATCTACTGGAGGCTGATTGACCATATTCTGAAATTTGTTTATCATTTTTTTACAGCTATACTAGCTACATCAAATTTGGATGCAGAAATCATGCTTGGTTTGGTGGGGAGGACATGCCAGATTCTTCTTGGAATTCTGCGCAAGAGCCGGCAAAGACACCTGGAGAAGATGTATTGCATGCATTTCCTTAACCTCTCCCGTCAGTGAACTACAAGCCAACATGGTTTGACGCTTTCTCAACTCAAGACAGATTCATCCAAAATTCAAAACCCCGGCATAGCCTTCCAACAAGTCTTACTGTAGTCTGAAGCAAACACCCCTCCTTTCTCCAAAATCACAACAAAAAGCCAAACAGCAGTATCTGATCCTCACGTCACTTCCTACCTTCATGGGATGCCTGGATGCCTTCGCTCAGGTTTTGATGTCTTCGGAGTGAACAGCATCTTCCGAGTCTTTACCAACAAGTCACAGCTGTTCCTCGTCGATAACGGGGTGTGGCCCATTACGCAGTAACTGTCCGGTTTTTATGTGAATGACCATTGTCGAGAAAGGCCTTGATTAGTTAATTAACCATCATCATCCACTGTTCCTGCTAGTCAAAATATACCCCAGCGACAACCTGGAGACCGTGCGTTCGATGCGACATAGTCGGACTCTGCGTCGATTGGCATCTGCCGAGCTGAGTGCTTATTTGTTTTAGACATCATTTCATGCCGGATCCTGTGACATGGAAGAGATGTCAAGATGATGTGAACAAAAGTATCCCTGAACTCACAGACCTGTGTTGGTTTTCAAGAAAGTGTCTGGCTATGGTTTTCCAGGTTAATTTCAATGAGGCAAAACAGTCCACAGCTTCCCGGGTCGGAGTATGCGTATCATGTTGGGGCACCTGGTTTTCAGCAAACGAGAAGACTGTTTGCTACACAGGTTCCAAGACCCTGTGTGAAAAAACTCTTGCAGTCTGAAGTTTGAAGCCTCCGGGAAAGAGGTTCCAAGACCCTGCGCGAAGCAAAGAACTCTTGCAGTCTGAAGTTTGAGAGAGCAAAACCGAGCAACTGACTCTGTACTTCTCAGTTGGCGTCGTCAGTTGCTGCAGCTTGGGCACCCCGATGTTTGAGCCCATACAGCCATGATCTGTTGCACCCTTTGGGAACTGCTCCGCCTGCTCCGCTCCGTACAAGCCCTCACGGTTCGAAAAGATCTTGCTTTTGGGTGAAACATTCACTTCAGTGCTGCCACTTCAGCAGCACAGAAACGGCGTTTTGTGACAGTTTTCAGAAAGCCAGTTCCCTCCAAAAGCCGCACGTTCGACGGCTCGTGTCCATGCCGCACCACGCGTCCCAGGGCCGATCCCACTTCACCAAAGGGCGCGATGCCGGCTTCTCCCCCGTGTCTCGGTCACCACGAACGGAGACGACGACGACGAACGGAGACGAAGCCTCACGACGTCGGGTTTGGTTTCAAGACCTGAACTAGGTCGTGGGATTAGATAGGCTATAGGCTATAGGGATCTATATACTATCCAATAGATCCTTATAGAAAACCAATGTGAGGCTATATGGCTGTTCAGGCTTTTCTAGGCGTCGGCAACAAGGGATGAAGAATTAGAACGCACTTCAACTGGGAGGCTTTTCCAATCACTTTAAAGCAGGCATTACACTGCATGCTGCATTTGTTGTTTCACAAACTGGCAGCAATTGTCATTTGATTTGGGTCTTTTGGACCAATTCTCGTTGACTCTTTTTGGGGTTGCAGTCCTGCGGCTTCTCCAACCTTTCAAGTCACTTCTTTGGCATCTTGTTGAGGTCCCTTTTGCAGCAGATGCACTTGAAACCTCCACACATGAAGCCTAAAGACTTGGTCCGGCCGATAAAACCATGTTGCAGAATGTTGCATGCAGAGTCCATGTCCAGGTTCGTACCCGTTTGCGACGTGAACCCACCGAACATGGAGTTCTCTTCGGAGGCGGCGTTTGGACATGCTGGGAGCCTAGCTGTGCGTGCACAGCTGTCAAAAGAGTATACTTATACTGTATAAGAGACATCACCAGAGACATATATAGACAATTCAGGACCATGTTGTTGATGGAAATGCTCAAGTTCTCCTGGGAATGACCATTTTGAACATGGAGTCAGTTGGTTCCCTTACCACTTAGCTGTTGGACAGATGAATGGCCAAAACGCTGCTGACTTGATCTATTCAGTCCTCTAGATGACCCTTAGAGATCCTGCATCCTAAGAGAACCAGGTGCTTCCCAGAGGTTTCTGTGACCAATTCACCTGCTAAGTGGCCCGAACCTTCGGGTAGGCAAAAGAGAAAAAAACATCGGAACGACATCCTTCCAAACTACCCCAACTACCACTGAAAACCTCGTTGCTCATCGCCGCGAGCTCGGTGCCGCAGTTGGATTTCGCCACCTTCGGGCCCCGAGCTGAGTTGGCTCGTTGACGCGTCCGTTGCGTTGAGTCTGGTCCTCCCCTGCTTGGCGGTCCAAGCTCTCAAAAAGAGGGAGATAATTCAGCAGTCAATGCTGAAGATAACGGGATTCACCCAAAAAACCAGGGATGTTTGTTCATATTATGTAACATTATTATGATTTAAGTAGACTAACTATCTGGGAACTTGGACGTACCAAGCCTCGGACGATCAGATATATGTTGTAAGTATGGTAGAGTGCAAGACGTTGAACGCATCAGCAAGTGTATGGTTGAATCATTTACCTTCAAAGCATTTCCGCTATGTTCACGAAATACGAGTGTGGAGTTGCTACTTGCCACACGACCGACACCAGTTGGCTCAGGGCTGCGGAAGATGGGCAAACACTGGCAACAGCGGAGAACAAATGCACCTTTGAAACATGACTTATCTTAGCTTTGACAGATGAAAGTACTGTGGCCATGAATCCTCGGCCGATCTGAAAACTCAACAAGATAGCTGATCTGAGAGACGACGGTGCAACCATGGGCCGCACGACTGGTCGAAGATCTTGCCTTCGCTGGCTGGCAGGACAGAGCAGGGTGAAGTGAAAAATACATCTCCAGGACCCCCCAAGGGGTGTCTATTGATAGCCCCTTAGAGGCTAAGGTCCTGGCTGGTGCCAGTAGTTCCGGTGGCTATTGGAGCATATGGATCTCATGATCCACACGCTTTAGGTGAAGAAACACCGGAAAAAACCCACGGTGGTCGAGTCTCGTCGACGTCGAGCAGAGTCCGACCCACCGAGTCGGACCAGTTCCATGTCAGCAGGATCTTCCGTTCGGAGAGAAACTCATCGGCTCATCGGCTCATCATGATGTATCACCTCCAACCAGAACCCTCCCCGGGTTTGGCTCGGGGTGTCCAACTCATGGCCAGAGGTTTTTCGGCCGGGCCCGTGTTGGGTACGTGCAGCGCAGGTGCCATCCTGGTCCATTTGGTGCTGAAGACCTTCACCTTCGTGGCGCCAGGCGGGGGGTTTTGCCGAAAGATCCGATGGTTCAGCGAATCACGTAGGAGTTTGTGCATGTGTTGGTGGAAAAAATAGTCAAGCTTGAAAACGATGACACGTGTCTATAGATGGTCACGTTCGAAGCGTCAGCTGGTTTCTGTGGATGTTGTTTCACTTGACCATCAAAGACAGTGTTTGATTGAAGATTTGCACTGAAGGGTCTGAGGTCACCCTGCACACCCTTTGTAGATTTCTTGATCATATCTAGACATCATACCAACAAATAATACAATCATATATATATATATATATACAAGCCATCTCTAGAAATGCATCCACTCACATTTCTGCTCTAAACAATCGAACGCAGGCTCGCAGGGTACTAGAGGTGGTCCTCTAGGAACTGTCCCCACTGGAGGCGTCCCAACGCGTGGAGGGCAGCGAACTGACTTGCAGCCGCGCGTGCTGCTGCGAGCAGAGGAGAGTGAGCCGGAGCCAAAGGCCATGGGCGACACCTTCGCACGATGATACACCGCCACGCCCGAGTTGGGTCAGGTCTCACACGGGTATTGGCTCACTGCAGCAACAAGCACATGGGGTGCAGAACCGGAAACCGCACACTTTTGTATATCTGGATGCTTGGCAATGCACTTAGCCACACCCATAGTCTCAGCTGCACTCCTCGGAGTCCAGTCGAACATCAATACATAAAGGATCTTGGGTTTTCGTGGGGTCAACGGGGGAGGTAGGGCTGCTACTTCAGTGAGCTCCATCACACCTATAGATCGATGAAAGTGCTGGACGTCTTCAGCATGCGTTCGTGCATGAGTATGCACATTATCCATGGTTCTCAGTCGTCCTGAGGGTGGTGTGACTCTTTTAAATTTTGACGAACAAACTGGGTAAACTTGTCAACAAACTCCCAGTTCGGCTGGATTCCTGTGTGGAGCCCATTTCATGCAGCGCCTTCGTGTTGACGCAGGGAGACGATGGGAAAGCGCTGGACGGTTCCTCTCCCGTGGGCCTGGTGGGTCAACTGGTGCTGAGCATCGCGGTCTTGCCCTACGTGGCCCCCCGGCCGACGAATGGATGGGGTGGGATGGATGCGTCGGGGTCTTTTGTTTGCAAAATAGAACTAAAGATCAACAAGATCAACTAAGTCCTGCATGTTCATAAGTACTGTTGGATCTTGAATAGCAAAAAGAGTCCCCCTAGCAAACAATCGAGGGCGACTGAATAGAGTCAAGCCTACCAAAACTATATAGTCTATAGTTAGTAGTTTTAGTAGTAGTAGTAGTAGTAGTAGTAGTCGTCGTCGTCGTCGTAGTGGTAGCGATAGTAGTAATAGAAAGTAAGTTGGCTAGGGCTCCAAGTTTGCACATTAATCCTGCCGCCTAAACACTGGGTTTGTGTACTACACTCTTGAACAAATTGTTTGGACCAATGATATCGATTAGTGTTTTTGATGTTGTTTGTTGTGTTATTGTTTGTGTCAATAAGTTTTTCTTTTTTAAAGGGGTTCAGGTAAGATTTCTATGAATCAAGTAAACCTCAGAAGAGTTTTGCAATGATCTTAAAGGGCAGCAAAGGCAGAACAAGCGAAAATTAAGCTTGGATACTTTTCCTGTGGCAAACATCAATATTGTAATCATTCACGACATACTAAACTATTCATGGTGTGATGGTGTGAATAATTTTGCGAAAACTATGTTTTGATTCCCTCCCATTTTACCAATTGGGATTGGACATTACATAGCCGTTTCATTTAGAACTGTACTTTTTGTATCCATTTGTATCCTATATATATATATATATAGTAGCTTAAGCCATCTAAGCAGGTGGCATCGGATGGCCATATGTGTTTGACAGCCTTCCAAGACTCCGGGAAGTCTGGCTTTGAGGCTTTGGCCATCTACAGCTCCCTGCAGCTGGCCACCACGGGACAGGCAAAACCGAAGCTGGCCGCCACCAGTGTGACACCCGTAGACAGCGTAGACGGGGTCACTATCCATTTAGTGAGACAGGTGACACCAAGTCGTGCAGTCTTCGTTTTTTGGAGATGCAGAACTCCAAAGACATGTTTAAGTGTTGCAAAAGCGTCAGTCAGTCAGTGGGTCAGTCATCGTCATTGTCGTTTTTAGGTTTTTGAGAGTCTAGCTGACCAAGTTTGGCCACCTGAAAATCATCCAACATCCTCAAGCAGTTTTTGCCCACTTGCCTGCCGCACAACATGGCCTAGGGCATAGGGTGCACTGTCATGGGATCCTATGGCTGTGTTTCTCCTTATATAGCTCCTAAAGATTCGATCGATCGTTGTGCCGCTTCGGCCTGGCAGGCCTTTGAACCCTTCCTTCAGAACAACGCCTTGACAACTACCGGAGTGGTGGGCATCGGAGAAGGCAGGGCTACGTGCCGCTGTGGCGCCACCTGAACAAACTGGGCACTGCCACTGCACCGTGTGAAGGTGAGACTGTGTGAAGGTGTGGCACACCAGGGATCCGAAGAAGTTCGAAGGATTCCATCATCCGGTCTCATGACGCTGTCAGAAGAATTGAGCTATTATAGTGGAAAGAACATGTGGTGCCACGGCCAGTTGTTTCCGTCAGACTTTGCTTTTTTGGTTGGGCCGACCCTGGTCATGACGATGTCAGGACGATGACATTCAGACCCCCAAAAGATCGTCATGAAGCCCAGCTGAAGCGGAAAATGACCCCCACGACCACGGACGGGGGATCCATCAGTCCATCAGTCTGGACGAAGCTACAGGCGAGCAGCAGCCCCACGAGCTACGGGGTAGAATAATGCGAAAACGACATTAGGTGAGGTATATAAGTCCAGCAGCAGCAGCAGTGCAGCAGCAGCAGCAGCACTGATTCAGTGTATCGTTGATGTTTTTGATGCTAACATTTTGCATACAGTTGCTGGAAGCCAGGCATGTTGAAAGTTGTTGCAGTATATGTTTGTCGCAAGATGTTAGGATTTGGCATTTGTCAATGTCAAGTTGGAGGTGACACGCGGATAAACGATTTCTATCGATTTCTAGGAAATGTTGTAAGCCTAAAACAGCTGAGGCCTTGTTTCAAATCAGCCTGTAGCATAGTGCCACATTGATCGTGGATGTTTTCAGGAGAGCCACGTAATATGGTGGGCTAAAACAACAATGAATCGCACCCTTTAATTTAGCGTGCATCGCAGGGGCCATTATGGGGTTGTAACCATGTCACGAAAGATAGCTCTAGCTAGCTGGAGTCTGTCTTGCTTTAGCAAGGAGGGGTGGGACGCCAGCACTTGAGGTTTCGACTCCCACGCCCACCATCCTCCTTAGTCAGCAGTGAACCGGCCCAATGAGGAATATCGAGGAGTACAGGCCTAGCCAGTACAGTCAGACCATTTAAGTCCACAGTGTTGAAAGACTGTGTAGAAATCAGATCAGATCGAGCACCATGGTATTGAAAGACTCACCAAGATGTTTAGATATATCAGTTCGGAAGCATTTTAGAGCGGAAGGGTTTCGATGGGGTAAAGTTGTTTTCATGTTTTGAGATCAATTGAGATTTTCAATCTCGAAGACAACAATCAACAAAACCAAAAAAACACATACTCGTCGACTCGTAGATATTTATATACTTTATGGCAAGTGGCTCAACGTGGTGGAACATGCACAAAGGTAAATTTGCCATGAAATCATGCAACTAAGAGAAGCAATATGCAAACTAAATCAAACACAAACAATTAGAAACAATTAGAACATAACACATCCCAAACAATCTCAACATATCTCAACATATGTTGGAAGACATTATATGGACCGGAAGGATTTTTTGTCCGCTCAAAAGATCTCAACATTTGTCAAACAAATCAACAATCTCGAGAAAGTAGATCGGAAAGGTTTCAACAAATAAAGCCATCTCAAAGGCAACCACAAAATGTAAAAATCACAAGCACACATATAACTTAACTGCATAAATGTCAGGGTCATGTCATGTGAACTTTGTCTGTAGTCACCTGTGATCAGAGTGTGTCAACTGTCGTCATTGTCATTACCCACAGCCATGCAGGCATCATGCTACAATGACTGATCCAGAGCAATACTTCCTGGCTGCGCTTCCCTGCTGCGCAACACGGGCAGTTCGGCCTGCATGGTGATCTGTTTGATGGAAGCATTCTTTGCCTCCACCCGGCCCGCAAGGCCCGCAAGGCCCGCGTTTCAACCCACCAAAACCACATTCCGTCACTCTTTGCCCTCCGCCCTACACAAGCCCTCCCAACACGTCCCAATGCATCCTTCAGCCGCCGCCGCTGCGCGAGCTCTACTTTACAAGGGCGATCGCTACACCACCCCGGGGCTCTACTGTGCAGCACTCGGTCTCACAAATCCCACCTTCTACTTGCTTGACTGCAAAAAGCCCATGCATGGTCCTCCACCCACACGCGCACACACGCAGGTGACAGAGGCAAACAGGTGAGAACTGGTGAGAGTGGTTGTGCTTGTTGGCGGCTGAGGTTGTTGTGGTTGGTGTTGTGGTTGTGGCTGTGGTTGTTGAGGTTGTTGCTGTTTTTCTGGGTGTTGTTGGTGTTGTGGTGATGGTGGTTGTTGTGGTTGTTGCTATGACCAGAAACAGGAAATGCAAGTAATGCAAGGCATCTTGGGCCATATTCAGCCATCTTGCGGCATGGAGCGTGTTCAAAAGAAAATTGTTCAAAAGCACGCTTTGCAACAAATCGCTAAGCACATTGTGATTTTCACGTCGGGATTTGCGGGGCTTTCCCATTCCAAAATGACCTGTCGGAGCATGCACGTCACCGGCTGGACGCGCTTGAAGTAGCTTGAAGCCGGGTGAAAACAGCATCTTCCAACCCGCAGGCGTTTCCGTGGTGGTGGTCTTTGGCCACTCGGAGGCAGACACCATCTTCCGGTACGGCCTGGACGGGAAGTCCGATAGAAACGGGTTCCAATACAGTCTTATATAGTGGGATCTACTTTCCCATCTATTTGGGTGATTTTTGGGGCCTGGGCTTACTGAGCTGATCCTGACTCAGAGAAAATCAGGAGTTGCGGGCACCACTGCAGGGACAGGTGTGTTCTTCTCGTGGAACAGGGTAGGACGACACCCTCAATCCAGCCCTCCAAATGTTTGACATGGAGGTTTTCGAGCCTCATGGGCAGGACAGCAGGGCTGTGGAATCTCCAGGGGGGGTAGAGCACAGAGTTTTGTCGAGTTTTTCTTCATGTGTTTTGGACAAAACGTGCTGCTCATCAACAAACGTGTCCAGTACTGTGATTGATCAAGATCAAAGGCTCAGGCTGCAGCCGAAGATGGACAGGTCCAGGCTCGGTGTGCACGTATGAAAGCGAGACGATGATTTTTTTTTATCAATCCAAGTGAAGGTGATTAGGTCTGTGATGGTGTGTATATACATATATATTCTTCGTATCATATACATTCATATACACATTGATGCCAATGATGCCCGTGAAACAGATTGAAAGACACAAAGTGATGCATTTTGCCAGTCACTGGCGTGCGCATTTAGCAAAAGGGTTGACACTTGCAGATGTTTGTACAATCTTGGACATCATGTTCTTGTTCGATGAGTTGCAGCCACGAAGATGCCGTACTTGTTGTGTGCTCCTAGTCTAAAGACTTATATAAAAGACACTAAAAGACCCTTTAGGAGTCCTCACCAATTATGACATTTGACCCCTGTGAAACACGCGACCATACGGGCCTGGTGTGCATGGAAAAGGGTCTGGGCGTTTGCATTGACTGAGGAATGGTGCTGTGGTCGGTCCTCTCCTTCGTCTTCCGTCTCGGCTTGGGCTTGCCGGAAGGACCCTTAAACATTCTGGGGCTCACGCAGTTCCTCTCATATGTCCCTTGGAGATCCGATTTTTTTTTCCAATGGCCCTGAAGAGCTTCGGAGCTTCGGGGGGCTTATCTTGCTTGGGAATCGACCGTGTGTTATGTTTCTTCCAATGAAATTCAAATAAATTCAATATGAACGTTTCTGTATGTTCGTGAGACCAATGGATCATCCTGGATGGTGAATATGATTTTGCCAGACGGAAGTCCCAGGGTCGATTCCATGGAAGTTCCAGGGTCGACGTTCTGCCCCGATGCTCTAGGGGTATTACTACTACGCCGACAGAACGAACATCTGTCGATTCTCTAGATTTGTTTGCACATGTTTGCAAGTTGGTCTCCAGTGCTGAGACTGACTTACCATCTCGGGTTCAACTCTTGGACGATCAAGATGACGGCGCAGCAGACACTGCTGTCATCTCAAGTAGGTATTCAGTCTTACAGACCCGGAGTTCGAGAGTATTTTGAAAGGGACCGACCTGGCAGTCATCACCAGATCATCTCATAGCAAAGGAAGAACCATGAAGAACCCATATAGAACGGGTTGTTGTTGTTCCTTTGCGTGTTTTTTTGGTCGTTTCTTTTTCTCGAAGTGTCTTTCCGTGGGCCACAAAACCGACGGCAGAGAACATCTCTGAACATCGCCTTAAAACCACAGGTGGCGGCCGCGCTTTTTGCTGGAGCCACCTTCTTGAACGGTCTGGGGGAGGACCCACCCGCCCGATTGTTTGGTGGGCTACTAGGAGCAATGTTCGCTACTAGGGGCTCCTGGCATCGCTACTAGTAACAAGAAGCTACTAGGAGCATGGGCGCTGCACCAGTGATACGCAAGCTGAGTAGTACTGGTCCTATGATGAGACGGTCAGCTCACCGTGCACGAGGAACTCTCGGCACGAGGGTCTTCTTTCGTTGTTCTCGTAATGAGACTCTTGATTCGACTCGTGATATGTAGTATATAATATAGTTTAAAAGCATTTAAAAGCACCTTAATATGAAGAGGCTTTGAACATTCCATGTCTGGGGGTATATGAATCAAGAGTCCGACAAAACAGCAGGAGAATCCCGTGAAGGGGATCTCCTTTAAAACCTTGACTTCTTCGCCCGAGAAGCTCAATGTGGTGGCAGCTTGGAAGAAGTGCGATTCAATCATTCTGAGTCACTCAGGCATGTGAAAGAACATGAACAATAAGTATGGCCCAGATAGGGCAGGTTACATGAGAACAGTTACGAACTATGTCTTTTGAACTCTTTACGGGGTAGGTGAGTAAAAAGATGCAAAGACGAGACTTTCCACATCTTCGTGAACGGATTGGATATCATGTTATATGATGTTATATGTCATTCTGTTCGATGTTTGGCGCACATGTGCGCACATGTGCGTACTCTACAGTTCGATATGTTTAGATTCTAGTATCGATCCACTGCCGTCGCCGGCCGTATTTATATATGACTTCGTCTTGGTGTGGACAAAGAGGGTGTCGCCAGCGGCACTCGACTGTCCAAGGGGTATTTTGGCACTTGATCTTGCACACCAAGCATCAAACATGGGAAAGCTGCCGATTATGTTCAGTTTCTCCCAAGTCTTCGGCTGATGAACGAAGTAGCTGGCCATGTTCGAACTGCTTGACTGGTATGGCCTACTTAGCTTTATCATTCTCCAACTTCAAGGGTTTGCCCATGTTTGCCCAGGTTCATTGATGTTTTTTTTGGTGCGTGGGTGCACCTTTGCCTTGCGAGATAGTAGGACAGGGCTGGACTTCTAGTCTATGCTGTATGCTTCAAACTTGCTGACTAGAACAAGCAGACGGGATATCGTCTCTAGTGGTACTTGGTATGCTTTTTTGCTTCTACAGTATTCTGTATCCCAAAAGTCACTATCTTCACGCTGACCCACAGCATTTGAATGTCAGTTGATGCAGCGTATACCAGACCACCAGACCATTCACCAATTGAAGGACTGTAGCCAGACCACGCAGCTCCACCTTTTCAGGCCTTTCCGCTCCCGCCGCTCCCGCCGCCGGTCCCCGCTCCCGTCCGGTCGAGGCGGCGAAAGGAGCCAAGCTGTTGGACAAAGCGGAGAAGGAGGTGGATGCGGCCGACGCGGAACCGCGACGTTCGGAACCGCGACGTTCGGAACCGCGACGTTCGGAACCGCGAATGGACGGGTGACCCGTTTTCCCGGCAGGGAGTTCAGGAGTTCAAGGCTGCAGCAATCCCTTAGTCAATATGGTTCTTCCGGTGCCAATTTGTGTGATGCTCCTCCTTGAAGACAATTCAGGGTGCCCAACAGAACGTGTCATCCTCCATAATTATTCTCATATTGTTCGTTCCAGCCATCCAACATGCATGGCCCCATCAACCATACACCATCATACACCAAACATCACCAAACAGTGCTCCAAAGCCATGCAGAGCCGTAAATTTGCTGGCAACTTCTTATTGAATCGTACCTGGCATATAGCGTAAGGTGGGGAACACAGAACGAACCGTGCAAAAGATCAAGGAGACACCCAACCAATCTTCGTCAATTCCTTTGTGTGAAGGAAGAAAGGTATAGAAAGGACCACACCGGGGATGACCTCCTCCTAGGGACCCCTTTCCTGATCACAGTCCATGTTAGTCTGAGCCGTTCCAGGGCGCAGACTCAGACTGTCGACTCCTCCAGTTTGGAAGACCCATGTCGATCCCTGTCGGTTCCCTTTGGTTCTTCACGAGTAAGAGCGCTCTGACTCAGGTGGAGAAGATCACAGCAGAGCCCCGAGCGCAATTGGAGGAGAAGCTGAAGGAAGTCGAGGAGAGCGGCAGTCGAAGCCAGAGTTGTTTTCAGTTGCAACCCTTCAAGAGTAGAAGTGAACTGTGTTTGGATGGACTGGTTCTTGTGAGAACTTCTAGCATGAACACAAATTGGGCTGGGCTTTACCCCTCTACAGGCAAAAATTCAGCAGCCGCAACAAAATTCAGCTGTTTGCAGTTGTTTGCATCAACCTGGCAAAACAAAGTTAGTCGAGGCAGATCAGGGTGCAATCATGCAAGTGTTTTGGATGGTGCTTGCACAATCCGACTTTTGATGTTCTGATCCTGCGAGCTACTCTTGCCAGGAGCAAGCATCTACTGAATTCTCTAAAAGCCCTGCGACTTGACCACACAGCAACACTCATGCAATCGAATGGTGGATCCATGTTCCTTTAGGAATTCGGGCCTCCATACTCATGCAATTCTGGTATATGTCCTCCTTCGCAAGTGTCACATGCTTCTAGTTCTGTGTTCACATTGGGCAGATCAACAATCACACAGACAAAGTTGGACTGACACCACTGACATCTCTGTGATGCTGACAGCATGATGGCGGACCTAGATCAATCTCCGGCGCTAAAATCAAGCCCGCATAAGAATGCATAAGATGTATTGTGACACTTCCAGATATCGTTGTGGGTTGATACTAATCAATAATCAAACGTTTATATGAATCAAGGAGGCTGCTCAGATCAATTGTCCGGTTCTGCTTCAGCTCGGTTTGTATGTGTTCGATTCGTTAGGCACACATATACACTATGATACACTATGTACGAAACCAATATTGAATCTTCTCCTTGTTGCCATAGAGAACGAACCGGCCCGAGCGAGCGGAGCGGAGACGCGAAGACGCAGGGGCGAACGGACCGACGTCCGGATTTGTTTCGATGACACGCAGCATCGACACGTCTCCATGCGGAGTCCTAAAGAGGATGAGACTGATATTTTTTGTATTCAGGAGTTGTTTGCAAATGAATACAAATTATATAGTTATTAATTCTTCTGCAGCTGAATAATGTTATTTGTTTGAATTCCTTGTTTCAACTCGACTGGCGTCCCTCCCTCCAGCAGAAAACGCGCGCCCCCGGATGACCGAGGTGGCCAAATACACACCGGATGTAAAGATTCCTGGTGTGACGATGCCGGACGTCAAAGTGCCCAATATGCCCGACATCAAGTTGCCAGACATCAAAACACCGGAGTTCAAAGCGCCGGACGTGCCCCAGGTTGCATCAAGTGCCAGACTACTTCCACACCTGGATGATTTAAACAACAAGTATAGCAGATGCGACTGTCCTTGACCCTGAACTTGAAGACATACCATACCCAATGTTGTTTTTGATTAATCGCCAAAGACAAACCCAAGTGTGTTCATCATCTCACTTATCATTTGACTTTTCCCACATGCACGTGTACGCAACCGAGAATATTGTTTTTTGAAAGAGCTTCGCGATACCTCTTTCCAGTCTTGGTTTCGTCTTCCACCCTACCTTGCAGAAAGTGGGACTAGTACTTATTCTTCTTTGGCGTGTAGATTCCTTCTTGTTGAGTTAGAATGCATTCTGCGCTGGGCAAGAGCCACAAGCAATCCAGGAAATCGGCGGTGAAAGTAATCGAAGCATGATGGGTGGCTCTCCATCCTCCGTTTGAGTCCGTTCTGTTCATTATGTCAAAACGGGGTGGAAAAACAATCAACAAAAACCCGTGCGACCCATCAGATGGCCCGCAAAGGCTGCTCGTGCGAACAAAAATATACCGATCAGATGGAACGTGCGACCCAGGTCAAAATGCCCACCTTCAATATGCCGACCTTCAAGATGCCGGAATTGAAGCTGCCGGAACGCAAGGCGCGGAAGGGTGACCGGTGACCACCCCGGTGACCTCTTTGCGGCGAGAAGATCTCCTCCATGCGGTGGAGTCTGTCTGAGGATGAGACATATATAGACACCAGGGCCCGAATCACCTCTAAGGGGCTAATATTGGACACCCTTAGGGGGCCCTGGTATATAAAGCTAAATATGTTCACGCGTGTTTCCCATCCATTGCAAAGTGTTGCACATATTGTTTCTTTTGTAATCAAAAAGTCTATTGAAAATTGAGAGGGTTCTTGAAGATGAGATCATGCTTTTGGAATCTTGACAAAGCTGGATGGGAAGAACATCACAGGAGGATACATGGGAGCTCTTTTTGTAGGGCAAATGTGCTAGTTTGGATCTATTGTTGGAGGGGATGCTTCTTGAGCTTCTCAACAATGTCCAACCTTCAGGGTGACGGATTCTGATTCCCGTGGCTGGCAGTTGTTTTTCTTCTTTCACTCATCAAAGTTCCGAACAATTCTCTAGACTGGGTCTCCCCAAGCGGGCAGTGAACACGAAGATCGTTCAATGTCAAATAATTGATGTTCTTATGTGCAATTTTAAATGCATGCCAAGTTCTCTTTTGTTGGAACCCTTGGAACCCGCAAAAATAGGTTTCATCGAAATTCTCATGTCCACTCCACACATCACTGCAGGCCCCACCAGGGAAAGAAGCCGCACCGACTGAAGCAGCAGAGGACCCGACTGGGGGAGTGCGAAATAGAAAGGCGGGGCGTATGCCTTCAACCTTCCCATGGCAGCCACGAGATCGAAAATTCTGACATCTGGATTCAATCCACATCACCTTTCTCCAGATTTTTGGAAACATGATGGAACATGGGTAACGAGAACCTGTTGTTTTGGAACATGCATCGCTGAGTCCGGTGGGTCATGGGGGGAGCCCGTGGTTCAACCCATGTCCCACGGCCGATGTTGTGCCGTTGGAAGGAGCTGACCCATCGCTGACCCAGTTGGAACACTCATTTTGGCTCTGACCAATTGGTTCATGAGTTTGTTTGTTCGTGCTTGTCCCAAACTAAGTTTGCTGAAAAATTCCAATCAATACCTTACCTACAAAGCTTGAGTTGAGGTCAAACTGATAGCACGCGGGCAAACTGCAGTAGATGTATTAAGGCATATTATTCAGGCACCATTGCTGAACCTCCACATAGACCCGGAAAACTGTCATCAAGCATGCGGCAAGAGGTTTGCTAATAGGAAGTTGTGCAAAGGCGCTGGGTTTGGGAGTTCGATTTGGACCACTATGGTGACCCCAGAGTAGATGAAAGCTGATAAAAGTTATATAGCATGTACCTATGTAGCAAGGTGGTAAGTTAGAACTGTTGTAGAGTTCGTACCGATCCATGTGGGAGTCTTGATAAACTTAATGAGACATGCTTCAGTGCATGCTTCAAACGTCCTTGCCTCTGACTTCCAGGAGGTGGCAGAGACATCAAAGGCACCGGGGAACGGCAGAGGTTCGACTGGGAATCCATCTTTTCGGGAGATCCCCAATCCCGCAGCAGCACTCTGACCTTGATGCAGTAACCTGCCACTGTAGTGAAGCAAAAGGCGTAGCAAAGCGCGTGTTTTGGGGTCAAGTCTTCCACCATTGTTGCCTACACCCCAGTCGAAGACCCAAACAGTCGGGAACCACTTCGTTGGTTTCATTCTTTTTGTTCAAAGCAAAAATCGAACTAGGAACAAGAAGCTACTAGGGGCTCCTGGCCTTACTACTAGAAGCAAGGACGCTACGAACGGGGCTCCTGGCCGTACTACTAGGAACAATGTTTGCTATTAGAAACCCTTTGATCCTCTTCCAAAAAGATACTATTTAGTGCTTCAAAGGATCGGAGGGCGGATCGAAGCGTGTCGGGTTTTTGCCTCAGGAGGCCAGCAGCGACTTGTTCGATTGAGCCAGGCCAGCGATGCCGCTCGCGGCGTGCCAAGCCACGTGGACACACCCCGCCAAGCCACGCATGACATACCAACCATGCACAAGCTTTTGACATGCTTTCCTTGCTTGCCAGTGATGGTGTGATCCGGGCGAAGGCGCGTGATCTGTTTCAGTTACAAAAACCTGCGCGAGGAAGTATGCCGCCTTCTTTGAAGAAGACACGCACAAAATCAATGCACCTTTGGACTTCTAGGTCCCTGAGCCAGAAAGCCAGAGAGAAACAGCACTTGAGAGGGACATCTTCTGTTTACACAGGCCAAAGATGGCTGCTTCCTTGCTCCATATTTTTTTAATCGCCAGCTTGGCTGGCTCGCGGACGTGTTCTCGCGTTGGATGTCAAAGTTATTTTTATCTATGATAGGAGTCTGAGTCGGAGAAAATCCATGCGGAAAAACCAGCCATCTTTGACGGACCGTGGGGCCGGTGGGTGAGGCATCGCAACAGTCCAGTGGAGCGAACCAGTCCAACGAGAAGATCTGGTGTCCGACATTTCTCTCCAACGGCTCACACATGGTGTAGGAATCTGAATCCCTAGGCCTCCACTATTTGTGAGGAAGGTCTTTTGCTAACTGGCCTCCAGACTGGGCCCTAGGTGTCTGGGAGATACCCCAAACCTATATAGCTTTTCCTTACCTGGCGAGACCAGCATTTGAACTGAATCCGTCTCTCCAAACTGACTCCTGTGGCAGCCATCAGGGCTTACGACCGACACTTGGTGCGTTTAGGGGTCGATTCACATCACCGGGGAAGTGTGTATGGACATTTTTGGTGTGGGATGACATTCGAACAGGAAGACCCACCCAAGTCTTTTGGTCTATTCTTTGGAGTCACACCGTTAACTTCTTTTTCCACGCCCGCACTTCACCATACGGTGAACCGCGGGGAGTTTGGAGTCAAAGTCAGATTGTATGTGGAATTGTTATTTTAGCCTCAGGAAACTCATTATTTTGTCAATTTTTGTCATATGTTGAGCCTCACAAAATTAGGTACCGCCGCTAATAGCGACCCCGTGCGATTCGCACAGCGCCGAAGTGGACAGTGCTCAAAACCTCCAATTTTGTTCATTTTTTCATTTGGGAGAGGTTGGATCATATGTGGTTTCACCCATTTTTTAGAAGGGACGGCACTGGTAACGTGGAATTTAGAATGGGGAAGAGCAGAAAGGGCACTCTTTTTTGGCGCACATGCGTTTTGCAGGTGTATGTTCTTTACACTCGCGGCCACGTTCGGGCCAACGCCTCAAGCAAATTTCCCCTGTTGTTCCACCGAAACTAAAAACTGCGGACATATTGGTCGACGCGTTTTGCGTCACACTGTCCTAAACCTTCGCGGGTCGCCAGACTGTATGGCACATAATGTTGACTTCCTAATACTAAATGGCCCGTGAATAATACTAAATCTTTTCAAAAACCAATAATAAATGGCCCTCAAACAATACTAAATGTTTTCTGGACCTTGATTTTCAGCTGCTTCCAGACCTTGATTCATCCAAGCTGATTCTGAGCTTTCAGCTGGTTCCAAAACCTGATTATTTTGTGTTTTCCTTTACTCTGGAATTTCGATTTGGCTGCTGCATTTTCCTTTTAAAATTGCTATTTGGGCATTGCCATTTGTAACCTGAAATCAACCCACAAAGAAACCTTCAATTACTCCAGACCTCAAATAATACTAAACAATCCCTGGCTGGTTCTTTTGGCGGTTTCCTTTACAATTCCTTTATTTAGATTTCCTTTTGGTTGAACAGCTTGAGCTTTATTGAAGGCAATCCTTTCTGGATGTCTGATTTGGCTGCTGCATTTGTCTTTTAAAATTGCTTATTTGGGCATTGCAATTTGCAACCTGAAATCAACCCACAAAGACCACCCCCCACGAGCAGCCCAAACCTTCAATTACTCCAGGCCTCAAATAATACTAAACAATCCCTGTCTGGTTCTTTTCGTGATTTCCTTTCCTTTCCTTTCATTGTCCTTTCATGTTCCTTTCCTTTCCTTTCATTGTCCTTTCAATTTCCTTTGCTTTCCTTTCATTTTCCTTTCCTTTCCTTTCATTGTCCTTTCAATTTCTGTTCTTTTCCTTTCCTTTCATGTTGCTTTCCTTTCCTTTCATTGTCCTTTTGTTTCCTTTCCTTTCATTGTCTGTTCAATTTCCTTTCCTTTCCTTTCATTTCAAATTAAAATCAAGATTTTCTAGGATTTTTGTGGATTTCACATTATTTGGGGCCGGCACTTGATCAAGGGGGGAGGGGGGGGTTAATAGGAGGTGGACATTATTTCTTCACTTGTCGCCAGACTTCGTGACGCAAGTGCAAGCGAACGTTAACATGCCCCACCCCACCCCACCCCACCCTACCCCACCCCACCCCACATCAACCACGAAGCATCAACTTCGTGACGCAAGTGCAAGCGAAGTTAACATGCCCCACCCCACCCCACCCCACCTCAACCACGAAGCATCAACTTCGTGACGTAAGCGCAAGCGAACGTTCACGTGCCCCACCCCACCCCAACCCAACCCGACACCGCCAAAAATCGCGATTTCGTCTGGGGTCGCTAACAGCGGCGACAGCCAAAATGATCAACACATGTTAACACAATATTCCAGGGTTAATTGGATGCGCCTAGGGTTTTCTTGAAAAACTTTGCCTTTGTTGTATTCCTTCTTGCGTCACATGAATTATCCCTGATGTGTCCCAGGGCCATGCCCCATTTGGGAGCCTTTTTGTGCCTCTACGGGGCCCAATTCCGCAAAAGACCACTGGTAGATACACGGGAATTTGCCCATGGTTTCACGGTGGGTTTTGGTGTATCTATCCCCCGATCCTCCAGAAAAAAGACATGGGGATGGGTCAAAACTGGGACCCGTGTCCACCATGTAGCCAGAGACCATCCGTCGGTAGGTCAACCAAGGTCTCCTGGTGCTATAATATAACCCACAGCCAAATCAGTGAAATCATATGGTTTCGGCGTCCAAGCATCTTGCCGTTCATCAAAGCTATGGCGGCACAGATGATCTGGCAGCTCTTTTTCCTGCGGCTCCCGCTTATGACGCGCGCCGCGCGGATTGGAATTGCTGCTTGGCCTTGAGCGTTTCGTTGAGAACAGGCACCTTGCTGCATGTTCGACCAAAAAGATGCAGAAAGGTATGCTGTATAACCCCAGTGTCTTTGAGCAACAGTGCAACAAAGCTTTAAACTTCATTTGCAGGGTACTGTAGCAGAAACCCCGTATTTTGCCGTGGTATGCCACATATTTTGACGCAAGCGATCAAGGTGCCAAGGCTCATAACCAGGTCCCAGGTGATTACACTCCCTGAAATAGTCATGGAAGTGGAACATGGCACCTTGAATGACCATTTCCTTACAAACAGGTGGTGAACTCCACTTCCATTATTATTTCAGGGAGCGTATCATCTCCAACTTCGGTCCGTGAGCTTGGTTCGAGATTGGCTGAGGTCACTATGCACTCTCCAGAGATCATGTCCTATGCCAACACCACCAGTTTAGTCAACCAAGAGCTACCTGGTGCCATTTTGCCGCGTTCATGGTGGAGGGAGAAGCCAGCAGGTCTTGTGAAACAAGCAGGCCTTGTAGCCGCCCAAAGGAAAGGTTGGAGTCTGCATTGGAGCGCATCATCGTCCGATGGTTTTGGGCCCTGATGGCCCTTTAACGAAGATTTGACTCTCATGATGTCGTTGAGACAAGACTTCTTTCAACAGAAATCAATCCTGCACTTCAGGTGCATCAGATCATTTGTACGGTGCATCGGAGACAGTCAAGCACAGTTTTGAACCTAATTCTGCCAAGAGACCTGCACTTCAGGTATGCTGAGCGCCACGGCTATGGCTTTCACATCCTGAACCACACCGTTGATACCACACGTGTTCCTCACTGGTCTAAGATCCACGCACTTTTGATTCATCTCGCAGATACTTAGCTTGGATCAATGCCTTAGCTTGGAGAGAGTCGTTCGAAGAGGTTCGTTCGATACAGCAGGTCTTCTGGTGTATCTCTGTCTTGCGGTTTCTTGCTTTGACCCAGCTTGTGGGTAGTCGACGACCATCTCAGTTTGTCCGAGTGGGTGATCCTGGCTTCTCAGTGGTAGTCGACCACATCCTTCACATGGGATTCATGGATTTGGAGATTCGATGAGATTCGTGAACCTCCTGCCATGGTCTTCGTGTTTCAGGATGGTCCGGGCTGGGCCGATGTGAAGGACATGTTTTGTTCAATAAAACCTGACCTTCAAGGTAACTGCCTTGAAATACATATATGTAAAATGCGGTTTTCTGCACTTCTGTCAGACAAATGCCTAACTCACTGAACTCACATCCTTGCAGGATATTGCGATTCCTGTCATTTCTGGTATTACCGTACGGGGTCAAACATGGATCTTTGATATGATATGATCACATGATTGCAATTTTGCTCATAGAGGGTAGCTGGATGTAGCTGGTCTGAAAGCATTTACGGTATCGGCGTCATGCTATCGCTCCAGAATGGTGTCGACTCTCGACAGTTCGTTGTGCAATCTGAGGACTACGACTTTGCTTTCTGGATCGATGCTGATGTCTCTTGCCTGTCAGAATGCCTCCCTTTTTCGTTGAGAGCAGGTTTAAATAGGAGGCTGAGACTGGGTGCACGCTAAATCCACAGCTTTCTCACCCCTGTTTCTTCCTTTGCGTCCGGGAGCTGAGGCCATGTTCTATGACCACAGTCGAAGAATTGAAGATGTTCTTCAAGTCCAAGCGCCCTGCTGCTGTTTTCCGCGGGGTCAGGTCTGTCAGGTTTCCGCAGGCTGCCAAAGTTGGCAGACATTGGTTGGTTGTGAATGTTAGATTTTCCAAGAAGCCTTTCAAGGAAACACTGGATTCACTGATCATTGTCATCACCAAAAGCATTCCACCAGACGGGTGCCTTCTCCGGCTCACGAGTGTCAGGAAAACAGTACATGTTTGATGATCTCACATGTGATGATTATTTGCTCTAAATCTTTAAATCTTTGAAAGGACATCATAATCATAATTGGAGACTTCTCCAGCATTCTTAAGCAAGCCCAAGAACCAGCTGCTTCTCCAAAAAACAGTGTTTTTTTTTGGCCACTTGCCGCCCAGTGTGAACGCCACCCGGCCGAGGACCCCACGGTGGAGCTCTGGAGCCAAGATATTTGGCCGGACTATCCGACCTTGCACCGAAAGGAGAAGATGGATGCCTGGGCAGCGAGGAACACAACGGGGCGGGGGCGCTGAAAAGGTCTGTTGGCCTGAAAAGGTCATGGTGTTGTTGTTTTTTTGGTTTATCACTTGTGGCTTGTATAATGACCAGTCATGTTAAATACCCTGCTGCATAGGTTTCACTGTTTTTGTTAAAACCGGTTCCCGAAAGAAGCGATCCATCCAAGGATGGAGCGACCTTCTTGATTCGAAATAGCGAATGGGCCAGACGCTTTTTGCTGGAGATGTATTTCTATCCACCTTGCATCCAGTTCCTGAACTGGACAGAGCAGTACCTGGGTGGATTTGGAGGTAGGATTGCTGCGTGCTATGCAGAGCTGAAAGCAAGAGGAAGATCGCGATTTGGTCAACTCAAGCTGGCTGTGAGGTCATAGCACCTCTCCCACCAATGGTTTCGGTTGACATCCCTTATAGAAGCCGATTCATACATTCTCATGGTTCCTGGGTCAACCAGGGATGCCATGCCCCCACTGCCATCTCTGAAAGCGTAGGAATGTGAAGATCAGAGGTTTGAGGACTCCTGGAAGAATTGGATTTCTGTATATCATGCTGGCAAGGGGAACAGTTTGCACTGGATTGTTGTTAGACCATCTTGTATCATGTATGTTACCCCACTAAAAACTAACATAGACCCTGAAAAAAACACTGGTGCAGCTAGAGGAAAACAGTCTTTGAGGGTGCCATTCTCTGGATCCATGTTTGTTTTCGCTAGTGTAGACCGACCTGTTTGTTCAATGGGTGACTCGTGGGATGACTCCAAATCCAAAGAAGCGTAGACGCATCGCTTTCCTGATCACCAGTCTTGATCTCATACATTTTCTTCCTTTCGAAGAATGAACGATACAGTAAACAATTTTTTGAGTAGGTTACTGTTGGATTGCAGATTTTGTCGGGCCTCCATCCTGGGAGTCGTAGAGTATAGGCATCTACCTCTTCATTTATTTTGTCACATGCATGGATTGCCTTCATTTTGAACACCCTAGCCAAAAACCATGAAACCACGCGCAACCAGACGCTATGCGTAAGCATCGAAACATGAAACCAGGTATTGCTTGACGCTCGCTTACAACGCGAACTTGCTGAACGTCCGGGAGAAGACACTGATCCTGCCCACACCGACTCTGAATCACCACCGCATCCCTGCGCTGGGCCTCCAGAGGTGGACGATGGGGGAGGGTTGGAAAGAGACACCAGAGGTTGAAGGACCCGAACTAGACCATCCCGGTACCCCAGGTTACGGGTCCTAGTTCAGGTCACTGGCTACCTCTCTTGGGAGGAACCCGGGAGGACCCACATGGGTGTGGGTACCTGGAGAAACCTGGTGGCCTTGGGCCTCCCAGGTCGTCCATTCTGTTCATTTTGAATGGGTCGATTTGAATGGCCATTCTGGATTAGCTGAGTGGATTCGTTGGGCTTTTTGTGCGGAGGGAACCCTCCATAGCGGTGCTTTCACACTGCAACTAGAAAGTAGCTGCCCTCCCTGTCCACTTAAGTTCTCTGAAGTCCTGTTGCCCTCCTGAAAACTGACATCATGCCATTCCAAAAAGCACATCATCATCATCATCATCATCCCAAGGCTGGCTTCCCAGCTTCCCCTGTCCTTTTTCCCTCATGGTCGGTCTCACTCTCCTCACCAGGCAGCTCTTTATTTGGCACCTGGCTGGCCGCTCCACTAAGCAAAGGGCCAGCCACATGAAGCTCGCCACTCGGTGAGCCGAACGAGCCGAATCCGCCCCCAGCCGGAGCTGGGCGTAGATGAAGGGGAACCCCAAAACCAGAAGGGTTCAGTGATTCAGGAGGTTCTTCCTGGATCAGTTTCATTCTCCAAGGACTCCAAGGCTCCAACGCTGATTTTCGACTGATCACGTTGGCGGGATCTTGGGGATCTTTTGGTTTTGGCAGAAGCACCGATGTAGTTCTGTTGATGATTGCCTATTTGCTATCCTCACACGCTACCCTATGTATGAATATAAATAATATATACACATATTATATATTATATTACATATATATATATTACACATATATCATTGAACATGTTTTTGACAAAGAGCTATAATTGAAACTTGTGGGCAGCCTTGGAACCAGCAGAATGACCGACCAAGAAGCAGCTTCCGCGATCGTGTTTGTTGTCCACTGGGCGACATGGTTCCTTCATTGCCGAAAACCCAACCCGACTTAGAACTCTCAAAGTCCGTGGGTCAACTGATTTTTTTGTATTTCTCTCTCTTTCTTTGGGGAGGTGTGGAAGAGTCTAGACCAGGGGCTTGGATTTTCAGCTACAGTTTGATGCAGATCTTGCCTCAGAGAAGACCAGGAAAAAAGATGTACAGGTTTCACAACATATATTAAATATATATATATATATTGTGGAGTGTGTTACATCTCTTGCGCTGTTTGCTTTTTTCTCGCTGGCATTGTGTCATGTCATGTTGCTTGCAGTTCTCAGTCTGCTGCGTGGAAACCGAGTGAACATTTTGCCTCTCAATGTGTTTGTTTTCTTTACCTGAGATTGCGTGAGGGCACCCTGTCGACGATACGCGCAATGTCATGATGTTTTTGTTGGTGGTGAAGCACGATGGAATAAGTTAAATGCCCAGTCACCCCAAATCGCCTGTTCCTTCAGTGTCTACCATTGTCCACCCAGAACTTCGAAGAGCATTTTCTGCCGCACACGCAGAGGTCTATGAAGATTATGGGAGCAAGTTTCAGGAGCGAAGGATGTCGGACATTGCTTTCGAGCCGTCCACGAGTCCACTCGGTCTCAATGAATGGCGGCTGACTTTGATATGTTTGACCCTAAAGCTTGCGCTTGAGACTCCAAAGTGGAGGACTTTGGAGCAATTCCTTGGAGGGTTCTGAAATAATAGCTTGCAGCCGAGAGTTTGCGGTCTTCATGGGAGCAGGGAGGCATCTTCATTTTGTGGAACCTAGAACTGGACGTGGTGACCCCTGTTGACGGGATTTGCTTGGGGTATGAAAGCAGTGATCAATGATCAACGCAACCAGGGCATAAGGGGGATTCAAAGAAAATCCTGGTCCTGGTTCGGGTCTCTTGTAGGCACCAAGAAGCCGGAGGAGGAGTCGGAGTTTTTTAAATCGTATGGGGAGCGTCTCAAGTCAAGGAACAGTGGAAAGCCCTTCTCTCTTAGCACCTGTGGTCAACAAGGTGTGGAAAGGTGTGGTTAACAAGGTCTCTTAGCACCTGGACCTGCCGGGTGAGAAATTCGACACAAAATTGTGCGCATAAGGTCGACCCAAACTGCAAGCCGTGCAATCATTTTGGATATAGTTGAAGTTGTTGTATCAATGATACAATAGTTGATCATAGTGCAACTAAACTATGACTATATCACATGATCATATAGTTTCTTCTCACATGACTTCATATAATATGATCTGGATTGCACGGATTCATATTCAAACAATGTTGGCAGTGAATGCTGCCTGAAGCACTTCTCGGCAGAGAAGCACTTGTTTTGGTTTCAAGCATTCGATTCCTTGCCAATCAGGAGATCAAGTATCAGTCTTTCTGGAATTTCTATAAGCCTCTTGCAATTTGAATTACTGTAACTGTAACTGGTTTCTCGCTTTCGTTCTGGCCCATGGTCAAACTGTGGAGCATGTTTTGAGCCCGCAGCGCTCTTTTTGGTACTTAATGTGACATCGCAAGTATTCCAGAACGTTTACTGCAAAGGCTGACCAGGTGGTTCAAAACATTTGTGCACAACCACCCAACAAACAAGCCTGTTTGGCAATTAAGACGAAGCAAGAGCCCGTTCTCTGACCGAAACGGGGTCGTAAACGATGTTCATTCCAAGTGACACGGTGCTCTCTCGCACTCTTTTCGTGTTTCTGAGGCTCTTTGAAGACGACAACTTTGGTGCCTCAGTCGTGAGGGCAGTCGTACTGAGAGATGTGAACAGCTACTCAGGAAGGAACTAAGCCACTAAGCCTCCTTTGAGACCTGTTTCACACCGGTTTTGGCACCGGGACCCGTGGCACAAATGAAAGATCCGGGTGGATGAACTGACGCGAACCCATGGAAGCAAGGTACTGACGCAGGCTTGATCTAAGTATTACATGGATACTGGATGTTTGCACTCCATACACCATTTCTATAGGCATTACATGGTATTACTGATATTACCAAGAGGCACCGTTGTTGAACTGGCATGTACCTGCAACCCAGTTGGCTTTGGGGTTGTTGTTTTCGCTGAGGTGACTTGGCCTCTTTGCAATTGTGCGTGTTCGGCCTTGGTGAGAGACATCAGTCCATGATCGAAGCCATGTTCCTTGATTAATGTTGTTGTTTGGTCCGGTTGACGGAGGAAGGAATGGTTGAGGCCATTAGACTGAGGCCATTAGACATCACCTGGCAAAGTGACACAAAGCTCAAGTTAACATAACATGAAGTTATATTGGTATTTCATATTTGTTATATATATATATTGGTATTTTCTGAAAGCCCAGAATGAAAATATTGGTATTTCATAATTCAATAAGTAGAGACTGCAGGATGGCTGGATTCTCACATCATGAGAATTGCCCTTGGCATCAGTATATTATGTTGTTTGAACTTGTTGAATGCATGTCGTATATCATGAATGTGTGTTTTTAGTTATCACCCAAGACGCGAATGAACCAAGTCATTGACTGAACGGAGAGTTGTGGTGCGTGAGTCTTTCAAAAGGAGAGGAGGTGGGAGGTCGTGAGTTATGGGGGCAGGAGGGTTTCGCACTCGGCGTGTATATAACAATTATATAGCCACTGCAAAGTGACACCTTCCCTCCATTCGAAGAATGGTATTCTTTAAGAAACTGGGTTCTGGGTTGCATTTATGCTGGTCTGGGCGGACGGTAGTACATGTCGCCAGTGATTCATGATAAAAGACATCAAATGACGGTGCAGAGGGCCGGCGGAGGGGGTCTTCGTTTCTGAGGCACCACTGAATTTCTCCGCCCAAAACTCTTTGGCATCAGCTGAGGTTGTTCCACTTTCCGTATCACACGGGCTTTGCATCTTGGCGCTGTTGCGCTGTTGGCATGCAGGTTCAACAGTCCACGGTGCACCCTTTCAAAGTGGATCCAGACGTCAAGAGCAAGCTTCGGAGGATTGCTTGATGTGTACCTGAAGTCTCAAACTACCCAGAACATGGGACATGACCCTACAAAATCAGGCACTTGTACCATCTTGTACCTGTACCTATCTTCCGAGGTACCTTAAGACTACAGGTAGCTCAGTCACGATGTTGGACCAACATTTCGGGATAACCTCCAGGTCTGGTGGGATCTGTCGCAGACCTGAGTGTGTATAGGGAGATCCCGGGATCCCATCATTTCACGCCTGGATGCGCCCGGATGGGCCTAGGTGTGGCACGCCATCGGCGCCACCGAGGTGGTGACCCGTTCCGGCTCGCCGGGGCTTTGGACTCAGATGCGGCAGAGCGAGGCGATCGGCGACAAGTTCGGCAGCCGCATGGCCTCCCTGGACCTTTGGGCGCCTTGCGCAACGGAGGAATGGAGGGACGGGAATTCTCCGTCTGATTTGGGTGGTTGGGGGGGGCTTCGGAACGACGAGGGGGCAAGTGGCACGGGGGGGAAAAGGCGGGAGGAACGTTCAGTCCAAATCCGTTCTTTTTGAGGAAAATTGCGGACGTCAAGTTTTTTCGGAGTCACGTCTTCTCGAATGGAGTCACATCCACGATAGTCCGAGGTGGGGTGCGTTGAAGGGCCGCGAGATCACCAGAGGTTGATGCGTTGACAGGGTGACCTGGCACTCGCCTACTGCGGATCACTGTGTGATGTCATTCCCGACATTTAAAGCAACCCCTATGCCCTATGCATTTGGCTCCACATCAATTCGGACAATCTTCAGGTTTCGGGCTGGTTTGGGAGTTTCCAAACCCGTTGGTCGTGGGTTGGTTGCCCAACCCTCTTGGCTCGTGCTCCTCGGCAGCGGCAGTTTCGAGGAATATCGTGCTGGGCGAACACGCGAGGGTGAGGACATGGTCACAGGCGGGGCAGGTAGGGTCTCCCAACATGGAGAACTCAAGCATCAGATCATTTAAAGATGTTGAAGGGCGATAGGTGACAATGGTAAAGATATGTAAAGATTCTAAATGGTCCTGGTGTCAACATGTGTTTGTTTGTTTAGAGTTTTGCTGGTTTGTTGTTACCAAGTGTCGCTTGTTTGAGCTCCAATTTTGGACTTTTACAGATGACAAATGGTCAAAAGCCACGCCATCACAAACCATTGCTTCGATGCTACAAGTGTAGCAAAGAAAGACTCAGACTAGTAGAGAATCCAAATGGCGCAGGTGGGCGCTTTACACTAAAGAGGACATGTTGATGCATACCAGGGGTTGTGTGGTCTATAGATTTCACTTTGATCCACATTTGATTGAAAAGACACGAAGATGCGTCATCCAGTTATGTTGGGGTACTAATGACAGTTTGGTCGTTTGGGCAACAACCACAACAAGCCTCTCCAAAACAGCTCAAACACTGCGCAGTTGGAGTGAGTACCAAGCCACATGAGTAGCGACCATTCCAGCTGGAAAGATGACTCATGACAGCAACAGCTGGATGCATTGAACCGATGGAAGACGTTAAATCAGCATCTCCAGCTGTTCCACCACAATATCCCACCAGCCAGTCTCTTGGGATTGATTGGTCTGAAACCGCCAGTTTCATTGCAACAGAACACAAAAACAGACAGACCAAGGCATTTGAAGTTTGAGGTGGATGCGCGGGAGATGACAGCTGGCAGGGAAAGTGCCACTGTTAGCATGACGACTGCTAAACTAAGCTTTCTTGGTTGGAACATGTTGGAACTTTGCCCAATTGCAACTTAGGTCAACGCATGTCGATGTGGGAAAGTGTAAGTGAAAAGAGTGCAAAGAGTGAAAACAAAGACATCCTCAAAGTGCGTGGAACGAGATGTTTTCGTGACTGCGACTTCTTGAGTGAATTTTTTATGATCAAAAAGTACCCTCTAAAACTTGAGGTCGATTCATGAAGACCAACAACATCCCCAAGAGGTATCTAAGCCTTTGATCATATACAAACCAATCCGATCACCCACCCCAAAACCAAAGAAAAAAACGACTCCGAAGTAGGAGCCCTGGGCCTTGGCAAGTCCGAGTCCGCTGCCTGAAGGTCCACGACCGTCACCCCCTCCGACCCCCCTAGACTCTCGGAGGTCGTGAGGCTGAGGATCGTCCCACCACACCCACACGACGGAAGCATGCGTTCATCGTCTGGTAGGTTCATCGCCATGGAAACCATGTGTTTTTAGAATGAGAAACAGAGAAACATATAGTTTTCACACATCAAACACCCAGATGGTAAAGAAGGAATACTAGTACTAGATACGATATTTGGTTTTCTTTGGATGTCTTTAGGACCTGAAGAGATTCTCCATGTTCAACTGATCAGATCAAACTCCCGCTAATTAAGAGCATGCCATATATAGGAAAACCGAGCATTCTCCGTTCCGACCGCTCCGACCGTTCGTCGTTCAGGCTTCTTTTGCGACCTGATGGTCCTGGGCGTGGAGAGTTGGAGACACTTGTCTGAGGGCGCCTTGACCTTGCCCTCCTTCGCGCGCGCGGGGCTGGAAGGCTATCAGGGTCCACGAGGCGCGCGGTGTTGAAGAGCGCTCAAAAGAACTGGTGGAGTGGGGGAGCTGGGTGATGAAGTGAAGTGATGAGTTGAGGTGACACTGCAGGAGTTCTATGCCAAAGAAATCAGCTCAGCTAAATTTTGTATTATTTGATACTATCTGTACTGGTTTGTGTTGAACAGTAGGATGTGATGTAATGCTCAAATGATCTTCCTCAAAGTGTACTCTCCTTGATGTTTTGTGGATTGGGGACGTCTTTGACCAGCGTTGGGTGAATGTCACGTAGGCTGCAGTGGCCATGTCTCACACTCATTGTCATTTTTGTGGTGTGTTGGATTCGCAGTCGTGGGCGTCCTCACGGCATTTGTTGGGATGATTCTGCTGAAGTCGTTAATACTGTGTTTTGCATTGAGATCAGCTTGACTGGGCTTAAGATCAAGAAGTAAAAGCCAGTCTATCCATCTCAATGTGCATGTCCACCACTCACGTCCACTGGTCTACACGCCTTTGCCAACAGCAGCTCCAGCATGCTTTTGCAGCTTTTGTTTTCGGAGGCCAAGGCTTTGGCTATTCCGGATTGAAGGATGTTTACATGGTGATCCTTCACGACTCCTGTGAAGGCACTCCTTCGAACCTGAAGCTAGACTCGGCCGCTTGGGAAGAAGAGAACGCCAGTCTGGCTGGGTGATTTGCGTTCGATCATTTGTTTTCTTCCAGGTGATCAACACAATCTTGAAGCGTTAGATATCGTTGTCCCATGTTGTCCTTAATGGATTGGTACATCAGGCATTAATGGCCCTCCAACTATATTTGTGGTGCCATCAAAAAAGCAGTTGGGCTCTAAAGAAAGGGACGGTCAAGACTGGTTCCATGAAGCACAGATGTTTCAGCAATCTCAAAATAGCAAGTGTGTTTGTATGCAGGTAGGTATAACAGGATCCCCAAAGCACTTCTATCAAACCAGTCCCTAGAGGGGTGTCCACTAGAGGGGTGTTTGTAATCGACCCTCTTGGATCCGATCTTGAGGATGATGAGAATGGTCGGGCGATGGAGGCCGCATGTCACCTGGTCTCTGATTTTGAGATCTTGGTGGATGAGGTCTACGCAGGAGAGAGAGAGAGAGAGAGAGACCGCGCGCTCACATGTGCTCACTGCGTCGTACCCGAGAGATGAGCCATAGTGAGCATCCGGGATGGCCAGCTTCCGGGGCTCCGCTCCAGAGAACTAGGAGATGTTAACGTTTGTGAGAAGGTATCATTGGAAGACAAAAATAGCCCACCAACTTGGAATATCCAATAGGACTCCGTTCTTGTTCGTGAGTTTGATGTCTTGGTTCTTGTTCTTGCTACAGGCAATCCTGCAAACTTGGATCATCTTGGATCAGTGGAAGACATTTGCGGAGTTGAGGAGCACAAGACGAGGATGCACCAGAGCGCAACGCGATTTTTGTGCTCGACAAGCCTGGAGGTGACGAGAAGGTTCCTTGGGATTCGGTGCCTCGACTGCAATTGACTGACTCGTTGAAACAGGTGCGTATGACTCGTATGACTCTAAATGTAGACTCTTGAGCAATACGCCCAATACACTGGCCCCCCCCCATAGATGAAATTATATGAAGAGAGTGAGTGCATGCAAATGGGGGGGTTATAAATCAAGAGTCTACATTATTTTGACGCCCTAGATACACTCTAGGGAACACCACGGCGTACTCCAGCAGGGGTGTCCTCCTGTTTTGAGGCACCCGCAGGGTACAGCTCCATGTTGCTTTTCTATGTGGGCTTGAATCCCTTCCACCAAGGGCTTTCCCGTTGATCCATTCCCATTCCATCTTAAAAACCCACGGCTTCAGCGTAGAGACTGACGCTGAGACTGAGGCCACCATGAAGTCTTCACCCTTCACCACAAGTGAACCAAGAGATGAAGTCGGTCGGGCCCAGGAAACCCTAAGGTCGCAAGTCGCCCAGAAAGACATGTCGGTTGTGGAAAGGAATATGGCAACCCTAAGCAAGTCGCCTAAGCAAGTCTATGGAAAGTCACGGTTGTATGTTCCATTAAGATCACACTCGACATGGCATGTCGGTTGGCAAGGATATATGGCCGGAAATCGGCACAGGGTGTGCCTTCCCAACCCCATGACAACCCGCTTTGAGAACCACTTTGAGACCTCAGGGTTAGTCAACCCAAGAGATGACACATAAAAGGCTCGGATAGAACCCTGGAACTGTCAGTCAAAGCATGTCAATGCGGATATTCCGAATTCTTCAGATATGGACCTGGATCAATTCTTTTTGAACCAGTTCACTTGACACCTGGGATCCCCCAAGATACCCACCCGGACCCTTGCCCAATAAATCCCAATAACAATCAATTTCATCAGCTTTGAAAGAAGGACATGCCCACAAACTCATGCCCACAAACTCCACACTTTGCATCACAAGACACAAATATGGGGTTTGTTACACTGGAATCCATGGGATTTGTTGTGGGCAGTCCGCAGTCAGCGCAGGCGCATGGCACCTCTCCGCACCGTCACAGCGTGACGTCGGCGTCAGGTCTCCCCTGAGCGTTGGGGCTCCAAACGTTTGGGCCAAGTGACGTTGGCACGACTGCCGCGCTACGCCTTCCCGAAGACCCAGTGGGCTCAGACCTGAAGAACCAGGAAACGTGAGCCAGATCAGCAAGAAGGCCAGCAGAGAAAGCAGGTGAGTCCTATGTAAGTGCTACAGAAGGTTGCTTAGAAGGTCTTTCTAAGCAACACAGTGCCTTAATAATACCTTGTGAGTGTATGTGAGTCTTATGAGCTGCTGGACTTTCCCCCCAAAAAAGCTATATACGTTTGGTAACCCACGTGGAGTTCCACTCTGAAAGGCTTCCTTCGCTTTCCGCTTCACTCACCGTGACCTCGGCTGAGACCGACTGGAACCGCGACTGGAACCGCGAGCGCTCACCGCAGCCGGCCCGGCGGAGCGCCAGCAGCCGCAGCAGCCGCGCTGCGCCCGGAGGACTTCGAGTGGCCGGAGAATCAAAAAGGATTCTGCTGGACCAGGTGATCCAAAGATGGGGGAATGGGCCAGCACACAGCACAGCTGGACATGCTTGGTGAGAGGAGGAAATCGGTGGGGATGAATGTTGGAATGTTTTGTTGGGCATTGCTTTGTTGACCGTGTATGATCATTCCTATGTAATAGATAATAATAATGATAGAGATAATGTCATATAATATAATGTATAATAACCATATAACCGATATACGATAAGGGTGACCTGTGAACGGACCGACGAGTTGTCCTGTCCTTAGCAGGGCGTCCAGCAGGTCCGACCATGAAAGGGCTGACGCTTGTGATATCAGCCCCGTTTCGACGGGACCGGCCACGGTCGGATGGTGACTCTTCCCAAAGATGACAGAGGCCGCCGGTGGAGGTGTCATCAACTGAGATACTCCCTTTGAAAGATGCTTGCGCCATCTACTCCGAACATGGCGAAGAGGAAGACAAAGTTATAAGGGTGATTCCAGAAATGGTTCCATCCTGATTTGTTTATGGTGAAAACTGAAGTTGGGAAAAGCCGGTGAATTGTTTGCAAGTTTCGATATCCCTTCAGACTTTTGACCAGCTGTTTCTCTCCGGGAGGAATGCTTGCGATACGCTCAGCGCTGAGGCAATCGGAGATGACTGAGGTCGGCTTGGTGGTATCCTCAGCCACCGAACCATAGTACTTGCCGGGGCGTTGGGCAAAATCCTTCATTTGGCACGGAGAGAATCCAGCAGATGCCGCTCCATCAGATGCTTCACGAAGCATCCGACTGGTTTTCCTTGCATCAAGTCGAGCCGTGGCCCAAGGCTCATCCTGGAGCAAATCCACCTGAGAAGAAAACAACCGTTACTATAGGGGCAGTTGCTCGTCACTTCGCTGGGATGTTGCTAGCACCTGCTGTCAGGAAGGGTGCCATCTTGCCATCTTGCCGACCTCAGCTGGTCTATTTGCAACATCCTGAACTCTTGCACTTCTTCCTCACATCAACTCCTCTGAAGGACGAACCCAGAACGAACCCAGAACGACGGAAGTTTGGTCCACCAACCCCGCTGCCGTCCTCTGGAGGAAGCACAAGCGGAAGCGGCAGCGGCCAAAGCCGCCGGGGATCTCAGAGAGTTTGGTGGCTGACCGGGATTCTGCATAGTCAGCTTAAAGGCAGGCAGTGACTTTGATGGATTCTTGTTTGAACCCCAATGTAAATTGGCAGAAACCAATGTGGTTTTCGATTGTGAGAAGTTTCGTGTCGATGAATCCTTGACTTGGGACGGTTGTCTAGCATGGGGGGCACGAGGTGGGTCGGAGCAAGAGGTGGGTCGTCAGTGCTGGGTCGCCAGGATGTCAGTGGCAGCACGCCATATCACCTGAATGGATCTCCATGGAGATGTCAGAAGTGTCGTTTGATTCATGGGCATGCGTATTGTCGGAGGCCTTCCAATTGCTGGGTAACCTAGTCTGTGGGTCTTGATAGGTGCTCCATGGGTTGTTTCTATTTCACTGCTTTCCCATGAGATGTGAACTGTTCGAAGATAAAACGACAAAACTTTGATTCCTTCCCCTTTCGATTCACTGATGCAGGCTGGGAAACTTCACGACTCTCCGCCTTCGAGATGTTTCATGATCTCTCCATGCAGCATCATGCAGCCATGTTTGAAGAGACTCCTGTATATCACACAATATCACACATATATGGATATGCACAATTAGTCTAAATATGTCTAACTTACACTATATAGCTATATTAATATCATATATATATGCAGTATTTTTCATGTATCTTCTATTATAGCTATATTACAGTATATATGAACTCCAACGGGTTCAAGTCAATGTGTCCATCTCGGCTAGACCGGTCCGCACCGTCCAACGTACGTCGCACCCTCATGGCCCATCCGCCGATCCGATCCGAGAGCCCGTTGGTTTAAACGACCTGAAGGACCCGGAACACCGGTAGTCGAGCCTCCGGGTCCCTCCGGGTCCCTCCGGGTCCCTCCGGGTCCCTCCGGGTCC